ATAGTATATGGAGTTTGTCTTGTCCAGACACGTGGTTTATTTTGTCTAATGTTTTTTCTCTTTAAAAACATAAGCTACCCAGTCACTTTGGAGTCAACCTTTAAATCTATTATATAAGTAAAAAATATAATTGTGTCTTCCCATTTAAAAAACGTGATTGCAGCTCATGAAAGTTCATTTCTTTTAATAAAGATTGCTAATTTGGAAAGGTACTACCAGATTTCTGATTTTTTTGCTACCATTGAGTAAAACATCTCTCCTCCTACAATGAATATGTTTTAAAGATCCTTCAGTTTATTTCCTAAGTGACATACTAAATGGTTGAGGATATCCCAAAAGAAAAGGTAGCAGGCTGCTTTTGAAAGTGATCCTAATATTGTAAGAAATTTCTAATCATGAGCATCTATTAAAATGGCCATAGTGCACTTGCTGGCCATGAGTGATCCCCATGAGATAAAATTTTAACAGAAATGTTTGTATCTGGACAAAAGAAAATGGAAGTAAAACTAATTTTACTTGTTTCTGGAACATATTTTCCCTGGATTTTATTTCTGCTTTTATTTATTTCTGATCTTCCAATTGCACGAGTCTTGAAGACCATTTTAATGGTAATGAATTTATTTAGCAATCTGGCTCATTTTATTTCCTCATATGAAACTACCATCAGCTCAGGAGACTGCTCGGCTTTTTCTAGACCACATTTCTCAGTACAGCACTTGGTCAGTCATGTGATCTCACACTGTGTCTCTCAAATTACATCCAAGTTTTAGAAAGCCATTTTCCAATTACCGGACAATCATAGTTATCTGTCATTCTCTCTTCATCTGGCACTGAATGAACAATCAGAGATGGATATATTACTTGAGCAATATTTACACTGCTGTGTTTCTTACCAGCTGGACAATTGGACTAAATTATTGTTTTTTGCAGAATTTCAATAGAATAACTCATTGCATTATTCTATCAGCATGTTCTGCTTTCATATGATTTACAACTATGATCCTCACATCTTGCTCTCCAAGGCTCCTGCCTTTACTGTTCCTTCAGCTTTTCACTTTCACCAGGAGACAGCTGCTCAGCTCCTCTTAAACAAGGAATAGATCTGGTCAATGCTATGTACAGATATGCCACAGATGCAAATAGACATATCAAAACTGAGAGGAGGAATTTAGTGTTGCTTTCCACTAGATTTGTACCTTTCTTCTATCCATTCAAGAAGCTGGGTTCAAAATTTATTGGCCCTTTCCCAGTTACACATCAATTTAATGCAGTGGCCTTCCATCTACAGTTCTCTGCTTTAATGAAGTTGATATTTCATTGGTTGTTCCTCATTTGTGATATTCTGTTCTTTGTATTTAGTTCCTGATTTCACACACACACCCCCACTTCCCATTCAACACATCCCCTGGTGTATGAATAAGATAAATGTTTTCTGGATTCTAGAGACATGAGGGGATGCTTAAAATATCTTATTCACTGGAAAGGTTACCTCAAATCAAATAGGTCATGGAAGAGGACAAGAAATGTTCATGTACCTCAACCTGTCTGCCAGTACTATCTGAAATTTCCATCCCCATGTCTTGCTGCAACTATCAAATATGAAGTCTACAGAGTTAGAGCTTTGATGGTGGTTAGTGTGCAAGAGAAAGAAAAGGGTGTTTTCAGCTCCAACTAATTCCTCTCTGCCAAACACTTCTGGTGATCTTGGTAAGGCAGGACAAGAAGCAACGGGTGGAAACTAATCAAGGAGAGAAGCAACCTAGAACTAAGGAGAAACTTCCTGACAGTTAGAACAATTAATCAGTGGAACAGCTTGCCTCCAGAAGCATTAAATGCTCCAACACTGGAAGTTTTTAAGAAGAGACTGGACAGCCATTTGTCCGAAATGGTGTAGGGTTTCCTGCCCGAGCAGGGGGTTGGACTAGATGACCTCCAAGGTCCCTTCCAACTTTACTATTATTATTATTATTATTATTATTATTATTATTATTATTATTATTATTATTAAGTTGTCAAGGCCGATCAGCAAGTAAATTTGGGGGAAATGAATCTGGGTTCATTGCCCTTGACAAATTGTCTAGTCTGCGCAAATGGAGACTCTGAGAAGTGGTATGAAGGAAAATAGAACAGATCATGGGAATTGGGAAGGAATAAGTTGACCCTTTATGGTGAGAACTTAGAGAAAAAGATCACTGAGTCCTGAGAAAGAGGAAAGCATGAGAAGAAAAAATCAAAATAAATCTACCTTGTTTTTATTTAGTATAAGATGGGCTGTGAGAAACTTGAATAGGCTCTGTTATTCTGTCTTACTATAATAAAAATTCCTGCATGCCTGTTTTTGATCTTGATCTTGCCTACTTCAATGCAAGTGGGAACAGATGTGTGTGAGGTAAAGCAACAAAAAATAGGATAAAGAATGAAGATTGAAAGTTGATTGAATATAAAAGAAAGAGCTCAGTAGGGTAAAAGTAAGTCAAGTGTGAGGCCCAGATTTAGATTACAAAATTCTAGATCAGGGATCCCCAACCTATGGTCTGCAGCCCAGTATTGGTCCGTGGCCTATTCACCACCGGGCCCCAGGAATAGCTGGTGAGCCCTACACTGCCACGCAGGCACTAGCAGCCCCATTTGCACATGTGTAGGGATGCTAGTATTGCTGCCAGTGTCACGGGGTGGAGGCCTGTTTGTGCATGTGCATGTGTGGCAGCGAGCACCATGGGCACACACGCCCCATTTGCATGCATGCTAGCACTGCTGTTGTGCATGCGCCCATTTGCGCATGCGTGTGCAGGCCACATGCGTGCACATTTCCCTGCTGCTCCCTTTCCTTCCGGACTGCCAAGTCAGAAAGGTTGGGGAACTCTGTTCTAGATGACTAGATGGGTAGATTCCCTTATGAGCTTCTCCAATCAACTGATTGGTTCTGAGTTGCATACAACTATTCACATTTGTTGAGTTGATACATTAAAAATTAAACCCCAATGCATGTGATATAAATAACCATAGTTGGTCAGCCCCAGAGACAGGACATTGCATATCTTTGAATATCAGTTGAGTAAGAAATGTAAGATCCTTACATTAAAACAATACATTTCATATTTCAAAATATATATGCAGTTTTTGGGTTCTGACCATGTACAGTCAGAACCCAAAGGTTACATAAAATGTGGCCCTTTTTCAAATCATCGTGACCTGATGTATTACATCCCAGAGTTCTGAAGGAAATTGGCAGATGTTATCTCAAAACCATTGCACCATATCTTTGAAAGATTGCATGGGGCACCCCAACGCATCATCTCTGACAAGGGGGTGCAATTTACGTCTGCATTTTAGAAGGAATTTTTATCCCTCTTAGGAACCACTCAGGGACTGACATCTAGCCATCATCCACAATCGAATGGGGGGGGGGCGGGCTGAAAAAATGAACTCCGTACTTAAGCAATATTTAAGATGTTTTCTTAGTTTCCAGCAGACCAAGTGGGCGGACTTACTTCCTTTTGCAGAAGTTGCCTACAATAATGCAGTCCACTCCAGCACAGATTACACTCCTTTTCAAATAGCCACCGGTCAAAGTTTCAACCCCATGCCAGAATTAACCCCAAATGAACCAACGATCCCATCACTGAAAGAATGGATGGAAAAACTACAAAACACCTGGCCAATAGTTAGAAAAGCACTAGATGAAGCTAAGCAGGCATACAAAGCACAAGCCGATAAAAAAAGGATTGAGCCTACACCATTCATTATAGGTGAAATGGTGTACCCATCTACAAAATACCTAAAGTCCCTACAACCCTGTAAAAAACTTGGACCAAAATATATAGGGCCTTTTCCAATTAAAAGAATCATAAACCCAGTAATAGTAGAATTAGAATTACCAAAAAATCTCAGGCAAATACACCCAATTTTTCATTGCAGCTTGCTGAAAAGAGAGCATCGGTCAGCTTTACGGCCAAAAATCCCCCCACCACCACCTCCAATCATGGTGGAGGGCGAACAACACTTTGAAATAAAGGAAATCCTAGACTCTAGGAGATATCATGGAGCGACTCAGTACCTAGTTGCCTGGAAACACCTCCCTGCCTCACAAAATGAGTGGGTCCATAAATGTCATGTCAGAGCCCCAAAGCTTTTAAAGAAGTTTCACACAGAATATCCTAACAAGCCTGACTAACTTTTATACCTGTTTTGTTTTCTTTCAGGTGGATCTGTCTTATATTTGAGGGGGCAGGATGTCAGAATCCAATTATATTTCATCTCTAGTTATCAACATTTCTGCCTTCTTGGGATTCTGTCATATGATGAAGGGAAGGGGGTGAACAAAGGGGCTTTATGGCCCTCACTTCCTTCAGTTCACTTCAAAGGAACTGAATGTGGATAGCACCAAAAGGCCTAATCATAACAAAGGGGGCTATTACCTTTCATGTAGTTTTCTCTGAAGTCTCCATCCAGCCGGCAGTAAGGAAAAGGGGGTGGGAATGTAATGCCTGAGACTGTCGCTGGAAGTAGGGGATGATTGGGTGGGGCTACTGGGAAACCCCTTAAAACCTTGAATGGGAGAGCTTGGACCCCAAGTCCTGTCTAGAACGCCTGCAACCATTTTCTCTTAATAAAGGATGCCTATTGGAAGAATTATTCCAAGAGTTCTGTCTTCTTAAGATGCAAAGTGCGGTGGGTCCTTACAGCCATCCAGAAAATCTCATGTCTTTTCTCTCATAAAAAATTTATTACTAAAAATTGTAATTCTCACACAGATATTGAAAAAAAAATCTCAAACTAGAAATATAAAGGAAAACCTGAATTAAGGCACCTTGTCTAAATTTGATTATTTCATTTACAAGGCTTCTTGTCATATAAAAATATGCAAGAATAAGCAAATAAGGTAGTTATTAAAAATGACAATTTACAAACAATCCCATGTTAATAATGATTAATAGCATAGTATTATAGATAAACATTTTCAACTGAATTCTATATTATATATTACTTCCCAACAGAAGTAATTATTCAAACAAGGTTGCTTTTATTTTTAAGGCAAATGTTTCAGAAATGTTATAGTTGTCTTCTGTACATAAACAATATAATGGAGATACATATACATATATTCTATTCAGGTTATTTAATACAATGGCTCAGAAATAAGATCCATCAAAATCAATGGAGCTTATCTGTGTTTGCATACTTTCAGAACACCTACTCTAATCAGTTATTCATAGAAAACAGATAAATTCTAAATTTATTTCTTCTAACATGTAAAATTTTATGAGATTTTATTCAACAGTACTATACCCAACTCCTAATGCGAACACATGAATTAGTAAATGATTTCCCTTGTTAATTTTTAAAAAAATGTTTAAATTTTTTGAAGCTTTTTCAGTTCTCTTTCTGTGGATTCTGTCTTCTTGTGCCAGGACGGACAACCCTTGTTCTTCTCTGTACTGATCCTGTTAATTCAAAAATAAGTCAGATAAGGTTATTTTATTTATTGTTTTTTCAGTTAAACATTCATAAAAATATAACACATTATGATTATTATTGCTTAAAATAAAAACATAATAATAACAAAAATAATTCACATAAACAGCTAGTATATGCATGAGTTCAAAAGTAGGTATTCTTCCTTCAATATCCATTAGTGAGAAAAGATTATGGGATTCAGAATTGTTAACTCTTTCTTCAGTGGTTTATTTTTTCATTCTATGATATTATATGCATAAACTAGTATAATCCAAGTTCATATTTTATGTAATGGATTTAACAAATTTCTCTCTAAATATTTAATATTATATATATTATATAATATTATATATAGTGGTTCACATAAAGAATCTTGCCACCATTTTTTAATTAGAATACATTTAAACATTTTAGTTAAGCATAGTTAGAACATGTTAATATAAGAAACCATTTCATACCTTGTGTCTTTCTAGATGATTGTACTTTTCTTACTGGGATGTCTAAAAAATGTTGAAACCAATATCCTTTATTGTAAACATTTGAAAGTAATAATACAGGTTCAAAAGTTAAATTTTCTGACTCTAGTGTAAGGGGAAAAGTTCAAGCAACATTTAATCATGTAACACATCCACATTCTGTATTTGGTAACACATAGCACAACAGGGAGCTCTAGGCCAATACATAAAAAGAGAAGCTGAAATCTATTGTATACAATATTTTGCACAGAAATTTGCTACTTAAGGAACATATAACCACCCTCACCCTTACTTAGGCACCTGGCAGTGATTATTAGTTCTCTAGATTCTGTCAACAGTGCTAAAATGTTGATGTAAAACTACTATTGAGTCAACATTTCAACAAGACAAAGATTTAAGCTTTTTATTTCATCCAGATTTAAAAGATTTAATCGATACTATGCAAAAAATAAAATGAGAAATAATGCTTTGTATCATTCCTAAATAAATTATTGTACCATACTCATCATAATATCTATAGTACACACACACACACATACACACACACACACACACAAATAATTTCTAGAGCCTCTCATTTTGGAGTAGATGAAGACATAGGGAAGTTAAAGACATTATTTATCATTTTAACCAGCAAACTTGTCAAAAATACTGTTTTCTTTAGCTTTCACCACAACTACCTCCATATAGATAATTAATGTCATAAGGATAATATTTATAAGAATAATTCCATTTATTGTATGACTGACCTTCCAGATGAATTTTCTTTATTTCTGTTTCGATAATCTGTGGTTCTTCTTCAATTCTTTTAGTAACTTTAGTGTACTCAGATCCAGCTATGATAAGCATTAAAAAGCAATGGTTAATATAAAGAGAATATTTTTGGCAAAAGAATGATCCAGGCATTAAATTCTGAAATCTTAAGATGTAGATGGAGGCAGCTATGGTCAGGAAGGCATGACAAATTCCTAAACATTTTCTTAGAGGTGACCATTGAGACTTATTCTAGGACTGGTAGTTAAGCACAGAAAGCCAGTTTGCTGAAGTAGTTAAGGCACAAGGTAGAAATCAAGACTGTTTTAGTCCCACCTTAGGGACAAGAAAAATCTTGCCAAGGAAACTTCAGGGATTAGTCCAGGCCAAGATTCAATGCCTCTCCCCCCCCCTCCCCCTCCCCCCTTCTCTCTCACACACACAGAGTTCAGCATGCCCTGGTGCATTCATAAAATATGCAAGGAGTACACAACTTTTTCTCTCAGCTTGCAAGGTTTTAGGTTGCTATACACAAAGGATAATTTGTTTGTGTGGTATTTTGTCCTAAACAGTTTTGGATACTATCTCAAATATCTATCATTATTGCAGCATCCAGTGTGCACATCTGGGCCAAGTGACATTTTAAATTGCTGTATGAATCCCTAATTAGAGATAAAGGCTTGATCTACACAAAAGAGGAGTTTGAAATCTTTGACATCCTAAAGCATGAATGCAGCTATTAAGAACAGAGACTAACTTGGATTTTTATATTTTTATTTGATAGCATAATGAGTCTGAATAAGCTTTACCAATCATTTTAAGCTATAACAAGCATTCCAGTACATGAAAACAGAATTATTAGCAGGAACATTTTAACAATGGGAGCAAGCAGTTCAGCTGTTTTAAAATCTGTCTGCTATTAGATTCATAGCCTGGTAATATACATTTTACCCAGATACAACAAGAATTCATTCACTCATTTAAATGCAGAATTGTCATTAATCTGTGGAATACATGTATTTTGGTTAAAAACCAGTGACATACTGTACATACATAGTACATGATGAATCATTCTTGTCCTGTCCTGCTAGAAAGATGTGCTTACATTCTCTTGCCCTATTGAGCTTGCCCAGGTAAAGATGAGGAGGTAGAATAGAATAGAATAGAATAGAATAGAATAGAATAGAATAGAATAGAATAGAATAGAATAGAATAGAATATAGGTGGAAGGTACCTTGGAGGTCTTCTAGTCCAGCGCCCTGCTCAAACAGGAGAACCTATACCAGGGGTGTCAAACTCAATTTCATTGAGGGCCGCATCAGCATTGCGGTTGCCCTTGGGGGGGTGGGGGGGTGGCCAGGGTGGGTGTGGCCTAGATGGAGTGGGTGTGGCCTACTCGGTGGACATGGCCAGCTCTGCATCGTTCGCATCAAGGGTGCCTGTGGGGGCCTGGGCAGGAGTGGGACAGATCTGAGGGTCTCTGGCAGAAGGGGATGGGACCAGGGCAAGTGCCAAGGCATGGTCCACTGGAGGAGCCTCACTGTTCCTCTCAGGCCATGTGGGGGGGGCTGAATGGTGGTGCGGGCTGCCCGGAGCCCTGGGCAGCAGAGATCAAACGCCCAGCCTGGCTCTTGAGCACCCATGGCACCAAGCCCAGCCCCACTTCCCCAAGGGGGCGCCCAGCTGCACTTATCTCCTCCTCAAGGCTTGCTCTCCTTAGCCAGGTTGCTCATGATGGGTACGAGGGCAAAGTCAGAGGGAGGCCCATTCCCTCTCCATGGGAGTAGGGCCAGCTTTATATTCAAAGCTTCCTTAGCAATAGGATGAGAGACCCCCAGGATAGGCCAGGAGGAGGGGACAAGGGGATGGTGAAAGGGCAGCAGGGCAGGACTAAGGCAGGAGTTCCCTCAGACCCTCCCTCTCCTTCTTTCCTTCCTTTCTTCCTAAGTACAGAGTGGTGGGAAAATATTTCAGATGAGGGAAGGAGAAAAACAGGCAAGAAATGCAGCTGGGGAGGTGTCACCCTTCGTGAGGACTGAAGAAATGCATCATCACCTGGAAGTAGCCAGCACATGGCCTTCACCAACTTCACATATCTGGCTTGGTGGGCTCTGGGAGAGGGGATGCCATGAGCAGTATAGGAGTCAACATTACCTGCACAATGCCGCCCAGCTGCCAGCCTGCCTGGTCTCAGCAGACAACGAGACACTCTCCTCACAGCGCCAAGAGATTGAGCCGGGCGGTGCGAAGTTCATCAGCTTTGCACCTTGCTGCCTGCTGAAACTGGGCAGACTGGGGGCTAGGCAGCATTGCACTTCTCATCAGATTTGTGCCACCCCGCTCAGCTCTTGGCACTGTGAGGAGAGCGCCCTGCTGCCTGCCGAAACCCCTCCCCTGAAGCCCATCAAGCCAGATAGGTGAAGTAGGCGAGGGCCATTTGCTGGCCACTTCCAGGTGATGGTGCATTTCTTCATTCCTCACAAAAGGTGACACCTCCCCAGCATGCACCCAGGGGGTGGGCCCGACATAGCAGGGGCTGGTTCCTCGCTGTTTCCAGACGGCCTTGTTGAGCTAAGACTGAATGTGTTTCAGCATAGATGGCCACCACAAAATTGTACATTGGCTCCCCGCTGGCCTGGGCCAAGGCCAAGGCAGAGGGGGCCGTTCTCTTACTGTTTCCAGGATGGCTTCATGGGCCACATGAAACCATTTTGCGGGCTGCATCCGGCCCCCAGCCCTTGTGTTTGACATGTCTGACCTATACCATCTTTGATAGGTAATTGTCTAGTCTCTTCTTAAAAATTTCCAGTTATGGAACACCCATGATTTCTGGAGGCAAGCTATTCCACGGGTTGATTGTCCTCACTGTCAGGAAGTTTCTCCTTAATTCCAGGTTGCTTCTCTCTTAGATCAGTTTCCAACCATCAGTTTCCAACCCTCCCTCTGATGCTCTGGTGAACAACGTGACCCCCTCTTCCTTGTGGCAGTCCTCAGATACTGGAATACTGCTATCATGTCTACCCTATTTCTTCTTTTCTTTAGCTTAGCCAAACCGAAGTCCTGCAGCTGTTCTTTGTATGTTTTATTCTCCAGGCCTTTGATTATCTTAGTTGCTCTTCTCTGATTTTTTTCCAGACTCTCAACATCTTTTTTGTGATATAGTGACCAAAATTGGGTGCAGAATTCCAGGTGTGGTCTTACTAGGATTTTATAAAGTGGTACTAATACTTCAAGTGATCTTGATTCTATGCTTCTGTTTATATAACTCAGGATTGTATTAGCTTTTTGTTTGCTGCTACACACTGCTGGCTTATGGTCAAGTGATCATCCACTAGGACTCCAAGGTTCCTCTCACAGTTACTGTTTTTAAGCCAGGTCTCACCTAATCTGTATTTGTGCCTTTGGTATTTCCTGCCTAAATATAAGACTTTGTTTTTCTCCTCATTGAAACTCATTTTTTTGGATGGAGCCCATTGTTCAAGTTGGTCAAGATCTTTTTGGATCCTGAGTTTGTCTTCTGGGGTGTTGGCTACTCCTGCCAGTTTGGTGTCATCAGCAAATTGATGAGTTCCCTCTTCTATTCTCTCATCTAAATCATTGATGAAGATGAGATAATAAAAGCACAGTCTGGCACAATACCAACAAAGAGGAAAAACAACAGCTCTCAAAAGAAACCAGCATGGCTGCATAAAGAACTCTCTGACAAATTGAAAGATAAAAAGGACAAGTATAGAAAGTGGAAAGAGGGGAACATAACTAAGTCAGAATATCAGCAAATAGCCCGAGCCTGCAAAGATGAAGTGAAGAAAGCCAAGGCTCAAAATAAACTAAGGCTTGCGACCAAAGTCAAAAATAACAAAAAAAGCTTCTTTCAACATGTAAAAAACAAGAAAAAGTGAAGGAAATGACTGGTCCATTAGTGGGTGGAAGTGGCAAGAAGGTGACAAGCAACAGGGAGAAAGCAGAACTATTTAACTCGTTTTTTGCATCTGTCTTTACACAAAGGGAAAAAACAGACCAACCTATCAAAAATAGTGCCATAAAAAAACAAAATAGAAACACAAGTTAAGATAGGCAAGAAAATGGTAAGTGAGCACCTATCCAGCCTAGATGAGTTCAAATCACCAGGACCAGATGGATTACACCCCAGAGTTCTCAAGGAACTGGCAGATGTGATATCGGAGCCACTGAACTATATTTTTCAAAGATCCTAGAACACAGGGGAACTACCAGAGGACTGGAAAAGAGCTGATGTAGTTCCCATCCTCAAAAAAGGAAAAAAAATGGATCCAGGAAATTACAGACCTATCAGCCTGACCTCAATACCTGGGAAGATCCTGGAAAATATAATCAAACAACGAATCAATGAACACCTAGAGGCAAACAAAGTCATTACTAAAAGCCAACATGGGTTTGTCAAAAATAGATCATGCCAGACAAATCTTATTGCATTCTTTGACCAAGTGACAAAATTAGTGGATCAGAGGAATGCTGTGGACATAATTTACTTGGACTTCAGTAAAGCATTTGATAAAGTAGATCACAACCTACTACTTGATAAGATAGAAAAATGTGGGGTAGACTGAATCACCACCAGATGGATCCGTAGCTGGCTGACCGGCCGTACTCAGCGAGTGGTCCTCAATAGAACTGCATCTATATGGAGGGAAGTGTGTAGTGGGGTGCCCCAGGGCTCTGTTCTGGGCCCAGTACTCTTCAACATCTTCATCAACGATTTGGATGAAGGGATAGATGGGAACTCATCAAATTTGCAGACGACACCAAGCTGGCAGGAATAGCCAACACTCCAGAAGACAGGCTTAAGATACAGAAGGATCTGGACAGACTTGAACACTGGGCACTAACTAACAAAATGAAATTCAATGGTGAAAAAAGCAAGGTTCTACATTTAGGCAAGAAAAACCAAATGCACAAGTACAGCATAGGTGGCACCAGGCTCAATAGTAGTAACTGTGAGAGGGACCTCGGAGTCCTAGTAGACAATCACCTAAATATGAGCCAGCAGTGTGCTGCAGCTGCCAAAAAGGCCAACACAGTGCTAGGCTGCATTAACAGAGGGATATAATCAAGATCACGTGAAGTATTAATACCACTCTTCAATGCCTTGGTAAGGCCACACTTGGAATACTGCATCCAGTTTTGGTCACCACGATGTAAAAAAAGATGTTGAGACTCTAGAAAGAGTACAGAGAAGAGCAACAAAGATGATTAGGGGACTGGAGGCTAAAACATATAAGGAACGGTTGCTAGAATTGGGTATGTCTAGTTTAACGAAGAGAAGGACCAGGGGGGACATGATAGCAGTGTTCCAATATCTCAGGGGCTGCCATAAAGAAGAGGGAATTAAGCTATTCTCCAAAGCACCTGAAGGCAGGCCAAGAAGCAACGGGTGGAAACTAATCAAGGAGAGAAGCAACCTAGAACTAAGGAGAAACTTCCTGACAGTGAGAAAAATTAATCAGTGGAACAGCCTGCCTCCAGAAGCAGTAAATGCTCCAACACTGGAAGTTTTTAAGAAGAGACTGGACAGCCATTTGTCCGAAATGGTGTAGGGTTTCCTGCCTGAGCAGGGGGTTGGACTAGATGACCTCCAAGGTCCCTTCCAACTTTACTACTATTACTATTGCTATAATTTGGATTAGAAATGTTGAAGAGTACTGGGCCTAAGATGGAACCTTGTGGTACCCCACTGCTTACTTCTCTCCATGTGGATGTAGTGCCATTGAGGACTATTCATTGAGTATGGTTTGTTAGCCAGCTACAGATCCATCTGGTGGTGATGTTGCCTATCCCACCTTTTCTTAGTTTGCCAAGGAGTAGGTTGTGATCTACCTTGTCAATAGAATAGAAGGGGAATTCATCAGATGTGCAGATGACACTAAACTGGCAGGAATAGCCAACACTTCAGAAGACAAACTGTAAGGACCCACTTCAAAACCACTTTCTAAAAAAGTAGAACTCTTGGAACAGATTCATCGCAAAAGGAACTTTTATTAGGAGTTGTTGATAGCAGGCATAGAAGGCAGGATCTGGCGGTTTCCCGTTCAAATCAATAGATTGAAGGAGCAAAAAGCAAACCCCACTCCAATAGTTCATCCAGTCAGTTCAAACAAGCCAATCCTCAGGTATTAAATCTGCTGTGGGAATGAGGCTGATAATACTGATATTGTATCAGTGAGGCAGGCTTTAAATTGAGTGTAGAATTCAGGGGCTGTTCTATTCATACTGCTGAATTTTCATAAATGTAGCCATTTCAGATAATGAACAAGCTTCAAATGCAATCCATAAATCTTCTCAGATTAACCTCAGAATAACCTACTAACCTTCCTTTAGCAATTTCTTAAGAGTCTCTTCATTATCCACTCCTCCATCAGTAGTGATTCGAGTATATTTCAGTTCAGGGCCTGAAAAAGATTCAGCAATTTCATCTGGAATTTCTATAATTTCTTTTCTGTACTCTTAATGTTATATTGTGATTATCAGGATCTTCCTTAATACTATGTGATTATAAAATTATATTATATGTGATGTGTTTGGTAGCTGGCATGTCATATGCAAAATGAAAACACTGAGATTTCAAAAGATGGATGAACACTTGTGACAACTAAGTAAATGAATTGCTGAAAGATGTCCATATAGAATTCATTATTGCATTATTTATAAAAGATTAAATTTCTGCTGTCTTCACTGAGATTTGAATGTGCTGTAAACATGCATAAAATATAAAATGTAATTTAATGCTGCAACCTGCCAGGAATCTTGAGAAATGGAAAGTACATAAATAATTTTAATGTATAAAAATAATGTTATACATTATTTTAACTTTAGCATGAGGTTAGAAGATCAAGGGCTTCAGAAAATATTGTCCAAATTACTGATTTCTTTTTTTAAAATTTAAAAGGCAAGACAAGAAGCAATGGATGGAACTAATCAAGGAGAGAAGCAACCTAGAATTAAGGAGAAATTTCCTGACAATGAGAACAATAAAGCAGTGGAACAGCTTGCCTTCAGAAGTTGTGGGTGCTCCATCACTGGAAGTTTTAATAAAGAGACTGGACAGCCATTTCTCTGAAATGATATAGGGTCTCCTGCTTGAGCAGGGATTGAACTAGAACAGCGGTTCTCAACCTGTGGGTCGGGACCCCATTTGGGGTCGAACGACCATTTTACGGGGGTTGCCAAATAACGCAGTCCACCATTTTTTCCCCTTTTCCTTAGCTGTGCTACTCCCTTTTATTCTATTGACTTTTGAAAGCCAATAGAATAGACTCTCTTGAATAGAGTCTAATTCTATTGGCTTTCAAAAGCCAATAGGAATTGTCCAGGCTGTCTCTGCCCTGCTGAGCCTGCCAAAAGTCCCATTCTGCAAACGGTTCTGCAAGTTGTCTGCAGCGAAGGCGAACTGTCTGGAAGCTTCCACCCCTCCCTGCTGAGCAACTACTAAAAATGTAAGTAAAAGAGGGCCAGGGGTGGGAGGTGGGAGGCCGGTGGGCACAGGGAGGGTTGCTGGCGCATGTGGGGCCCGGCGGGTGCCTTACCTCCCTTGGGCTGGGCCAGCTGGTGGCCCAGCCAGTGGTCAGCCTGCGCCATCTCTGCTGCTTGCCACCTATGCCTCGGCACCATGCATGCGCGGCGCTCCTGGGCAGGGAAAGTCCTCAACTTATGACCGGTTGGGTAGTCCTCGACTTATGACTGGTTGGGTAGTCCTCGACTTATGACCGGTTGGGGGTCACGGCATTAAAAAGGTTGAGAACCACTGAACTAGAAGATCTCCAAGGTCCCTTCCAACTCTATTATTTTGTTCTGTTCTTCATTCTAGCTATTTGGATAATTCTAATCTACTGATTAAGTAAAGGCATTCTAAAGTAATAAAGATGAATCAAATAATCATTATAGATTTAAAAGTTATAGATGATTTAGTTCTTTCTTGGCAAAGAATATTTTAGCTAAGGACCAGGATCTCAGTTTGGCAATATAATAGAATAAATTTTTATATGTATGATGGCTAATATTCTCAAATGTGGAATACCAAGAAAGTTAACCATAAAATGGAAGTAAAATCCTCCTTGTATGCCTGGTGGAGATTGGGAATGGAGCAGCATGTACTGTCACAGCATCCTTTGAGAGATAGCAATACCAAACCTTTGCTATGAATTGGAAGACCATTATTCAAAAGTGGTTTCTTGGGAGTAGTCCACATGTTTTCATTCTTTGAATTGAATCATTCTTCAATTCTATCAGTCACTCCTCATTTATTAGTAGGCTTTGCGTCAGCTAATAATTTTCATGATACTGCTATATCTGGCAATAAACGTAGCTGCTACCCCAGCTATACTGAGCATTGCCTGAAGACTTTGGTTTTGTTGAATCATAGTGCCAAGCCATAGCAAAAAGGTGTTTATTGCAATGAAAAATTAAAACTCTTCTAGTGAATTAACCTATAACTTAAAAAGCTGACACAACATGCTCAATATTAAGAGATGCTTTCCATATGCAAAGAATTGTAATCATTAAGTTTCTAATTGTAAGTTTAAAGCATAGAATCTGTAGATGATTGAAAAGAATATTAAGCATGCCTTTGTTAACTTATGAGCAATGAGTATTCATTATAATTAATAAGGGAAAAGATCTGGAATTTTCCCAATGTTTTTATAAATATTTCTTAGAGTTCCAAATGTATTAGATTATATGGGGATGGGAATCTTCAGTGCTCACTTGAAACTGTTTAAAGACTGAACATAAACAAAAAAAAAATAGTTTTCCTCAGTATGGTTTTGTGGAAGAAAGCAGAATACCCAAATATTTTGCTTTCATATACAATCCTTGAAATTTGGTCCATAGATTTTTCTTTACTTGAATCAGTCTTTAAAAAGTTAAGACATCAGCTTGTCAATTCTTAAAGTTCATTAGGATGAAATTAGTTTTCTTGCACTCACTAACCTCCCTGGAGGAATCGTTTGATTTCTTCATCATCCAGTAAATGACCATCACCTTCAATGAGTTTAGTCACCTTGGTAATCTCTGACAGGACATATATTTATGGCATGAAATTGTTGTATAGGACAATATGGGAAAAATATAACTACAGTAAATTAATAAATTTATTTTATAATTATTTTATTTTTTATAAATAACTAGTATTTGACTAATTTTGCACTAAAATTCAATTGAAAGTAATTGAGTTCTGCAAAACTTCATAGCAATTTGAATATTGATATGAATGCTGAAAATCTTTATATTACAAAGATTTCCATTGACAACATTCAGTATAGTAAGTGATGTTGAGTTTGCTTTTTTATTTTTAATTATTATTTATAAATTTTACATATTGCATGAATGAGGCAGGCTTTAATTGAGTTTAGAATTCAGGTGCTGTTCTATTCTTACTGTTGAATTTTCATAAATGTAGCCATTTCAGATAACGAACAAGCTTCAAATGCAATCAATAAATTTTCTCAGATTAACCTCAGAATAACCTACTAACCTTCCTTTAGCAATTTCTTAAGAGTCTCTTCATTATCCACTCCTCCATCAGTAGTGATTCGAGTATATTTCAGTTCAGGGCCTGAAAAAGATTCAGCAATTTCATCTGGAATTTCTATAATTTCTTTTCTGTACTCTTAATGTTATATTGTGATTATCAGGATCTTCCTTAATACTATGTGATTATAAAATTATATTATATGTGATGTGTTTGGTAGCTGGCATGTCATATGCAAAATGAAAACACTGAGATTTCAAAAGATGGATGAACACTTGTGACAACTAAGTAAATGAATTGCTGAAAGATGTCCATATAGAATTCATTATTGCATTATTTATAAAAGATTAAATTTCTGCTGTCTTCACTGAGATCTGAATGTGCTGTAAACATGCATGAAGTAAAATAAAAAACAGTAAGAGGAGCACATACAACTAAAGGAAACTTTGAGCACAAATTACATCTTTTTGTATAGAGAGCAGAGGATATGTCTAGGATATTTTAGTTGGATGACTGAAGATTTCTTAAAGTTTTATTTCTTGTGCCTGAAACTATGTTGTACTGTCAGTCATCAGAGAGACTATTTTTGTTGCCAAAACTAAACACAAATGTCCCAGAATCAGAATTTACAAGAAAATTTAAAATAGTACATATTATTCACCACAGGTATGAAATTTGAATTTTTAAACTGAAACTACTTTAAATGAATTTTACCTTGAATAATTCTTTCTTCAGTCACCTCTTTTTCAGTCACTTCCACAGGATGTCCATCAATTATTTTTGTGTATTTTTTAATTTTAGGCTCTGTAAGAAAACATTTTTAAATAAATGACAAAATCATTGCAATGCACTGGGCTGCTTTTGGACCTTTGGACAGTGGCAAAAATGTTAGAAATAGTTAATTCAAATGTTTTCACTAGAGATACCTTAAAAAAAAGAGCATGCCATTTTTCCAAGATTATATACCTTCAATCTCAAACTAAAATTGTTGTTGTGTTTTTTTAAAAAATCTGAATAAAAATATTTAGTTATTTTAAAACATATATTGAAATTTTTGCTTGTTGTCTTACAGTTTTCTTGAGAGCTTTGAATAACAAAAATATTGTTTCTTGATATTTCTGCAGTTGAAGGTCATCAAAATATTGATTGCATCATTAAGAAATTAATAGAATTTGCAACTGTTATAGCTACATTACATCTTAGGTTAATTGCATCTTAGTTCAATAACCTTTTAGCATGCAGAGTGAAAAAATGTTTCTTTTATTTGCATTAATAAGAAATAAATAAACGTTAAAACATTTAATTTCCTGATGCAATATATATGCTTAAAACATGCTAAAAGCAAATCTATAGCTGCAAGACCCAGTCTTCCCACTTGCATCTAAATTTTGGAACTGGTATTTGGAACTCTTTTCAAAATCCTTCTAGTTAGTACTGCCCAGCCCACAAAATATATTCACCTCCATGAATCACTTTAGTTATTGTCTCTCCTTCCCTGACCAGCTTAAATTCTGGCTCCCCTTCAATCACTTTGGTGAACTTTGTGATGGATGGCACTGCAAAGCATGAAATGTGATGAAAATGATATACATTTTAGGCAAGTTTCAAAATATCTAGGAGAAAAATACTCTTGAAAACATAATGCCTAGGAATCAACTGGAGAGCTAGTTCTAAAGCTTCTGAATTTAATAGAGTATATTCAGAACAATATAGTCATACCATAATCAGAGGATAGCATTAAACTGAGGTTTCAACTTCGGTGGCCAGATTTGAAATATGAAAAATTGTTGGCAACCTATATTGGTATTTATTTGTTTTGATATAATGCGTATTATATAAGCAAATATTATAGATGTTTGCATGAATGGGCAGATTGACAAATTTGCAGCTATTTGATATAACCATAGCAAATCATAAATCTCATTTGCCACTTTGATCTTTGACATTGTTTATTTGTTTGTTTGTTTGTCATTTTTTATAAGCTGCCTCAAATGTCCAAGCAACTTTTTAAATAATAAATCAAGCAGAATAATGAACAACAACAACAACAAAACAATATATATTATTATTTTAGGAAAGGAAGTTGCCCCCATTTTGGTTTCTGTTGCTTTTTGAGTAAGCAAAGCTTAGATAATGAGGTGATATTACCACTAAGCACATAATCTCTTCTTTCTCCAATCACAAATTGAATATAGGAATTCTGTTGAAAAATATAGATTGATTCTTCCTCCTTGACTATGTAGTTTTTCTGCAGTTCTAAGTAAATTTATAGATTTTGTAAAAGTTTTCATTAAAACATAATTGATTATAGGAACAAACTGTTACTGAAGGTTATTACAGTATTACATGTTATTTCCAGTAGGGATACTTGGCAAGGTTGCTCTTTGTTCTCTTTTACACAGCTCACCTTCAATCTCCTTTCGAATTGTGGAACCGCCAACTATCTTTGTAATTTTTTTAATATCTGTGGGAAGAAATAATTTGATCACTTGTGATTTTTGCCTTTTAAACAAACACAGTTATCTAACTAATTCTGCTAGGATTTTATCTTCCTTTATTCATGGTAGTTGTAAAATCTCTTGAATCTTTCCATACAAATATGTTTAAAATACATGGCATATTGAAAACATACAGAATACGAGAAGAAAAAATATATCAGAGTTTTGTTTGAAATTTTCATTATGCCCTTTCTCACCTTAAAGTTTAGGAAAAAAAATAAAATCTTTCTTTTCCACATGTGATCAGAATATGGCCAACACATTTCCACAGCTGACTTGAGGTTTGCACATATAGTCACCTTCTCTGGTAGACATTCTCCCTAACTTAGCTTTGACAACTTTTATCAGTCTCCAGCCTTCCCTTTTTAGGAAAAGTGGATGAGAAGATGAGAATGGCTCAGATCAGAAGAAATGGATTATCTGGATTTCTGCCAGTCAAGATTTAGACCCATCCATATATCTTCATTAGGACATTGATGAGGAAGCATGCCTCTCTTGGACCTATCAGGCAGCTGGCAACCATGGCATCCTGTAAATTGCTTACAAGAGCTAGAGGTTTGAGGCTCTGTCCTTCTGCTCCTCTGAATGAGGAATTCCAGTCTGCAATATTTTTATTTATTGGCCACCTAATTCACTCATGGTGATTCAATTATGGGGGGCAGGGGAGTACTCAAAACCATGGTTGTTCCAATGCAGGATACCACAAGACTCAATGTCTTCCCTATGTTATTTAGCATCTATATGAAGCCACTGGAATAATTCTGGCAGATTAGGATGAAATGTCATCAATATATGGATAATATTCAATTATGCATTGCTACTTCAGGCCTGTTTATTGTAGAAGTTAAGGCATCAGGCTAGAAACCAGGGGACCATGAGATATAATCCCACCCTAGACATGAAACCATGAAACCACATACTTCAATGAGTATATGGAAACTATTAGGTCTAGATGGGTTTTAAAAAAAACCCTACAATGAATCCCTCAAAGACCAAGTCCTTTTTTGTCAATAAACTTCCAGGAACTCTAGATAGATTGCACTTCCTATGAAGGAATTGTTTCATGATTGAGAGATCTTCCTGGATTCATATCAAATGCTTAAAGCAGTAAGTTTAGGCTATGACTGGGTCCTGGGTCATCTTCAGTTGATGTGCCCATTACCAGGGCTTTTTTGTCATAGAACGCCCAGAACCGAGTTCCAGCACCTTTTGTGAATGGAACCTTGTAGAGTAGGCAAGGCAGGTTGTATGACAGGTGTGAGTTCCAGCACCTTTTTTTTTTTTTTTTTTACAAAAAAAGCACTGCCCATTACAATGCATATATATTTAGATATTTGGGGAAAGAATGATATACAAATCAAGCAGTTGTGCGGCAGCAGCAAAAAAAGCTAATACAGTCCTTGGTTGTATAAAAAGAGGCATAGAATCAAAATCACATGAAGTATTAGTACTGCTTTATAAAGCCTTAGTAAGACCACATTTGGAATATTGCATCAAATTTTGGTCACCACATTACAAAAAAGATGTTGAGACTTTGGAAAAAGTGTGAAGAAGATCAACTAAGATGATTAAAGAACTGGCTCTTGGCTCTTACAAGATGGGTTTGGTTAAGAGAATCATTTTACATAGGGTATAAAGAAAACAACTTTCCAGTTGTCAAAGACTGAAAGAGATATGTGCTTAATTATATTATTTATATTATGCATATACAAAGATGGAGAAATATGTTTGGAAAGGACTAATTTTAATAACTTTTAAGGTTTTGTACCTTTTAAAAGTTTAGTTTAATTTTAATTTGAAATATTTTATTGTAGTACCATTGCTTATTTTTATTTTTGTTAATTTCTTTTTTTTTAATTGAAATTTTTATAAACTTTTACAATAAAATCCCTCCCCCCTCCCATCCCCCCCTTAACCCTCCCCCCCCCTTCCCAGAGCTGAATACAGAGCTAAAAAGAACAGGAAAAAAACATAAAAATTAAATAAACATCAATCAACTATACATAAATCCTAAAAAATTAAGAAAACACTTTAACTCCAATACAATAAAATCAACAAATCTAACCAAAGCAACTTTAACTATAAATTATTCAAAAGCTAAATAATACTTTCTAATCCCATATTTGTTCTGAACAAAATTTACCCATCTTTTCCACACAGAATTATATCTCTCTTGTGAATGGTCTTTCAGATAAGCCGAAATTTTAGCCATTTCTGATAAATAAGAAACTTTAAGAAACCATTCTTCTAAGGTAGGCAAGGAATCTTTCTTCCAATATTGCACAATCAATAACCTTGCCGCCGTAATAAAATTCAACATTAAAATAATCTCTTTACTATCACAATCTTCAATAATACCTAACAAAAATAATTGTGGTGTACATTTTATCCTTCTATTAAAAATTTTTTGAATGTTCCACCAAATCTTAATCCAAAAAGCCTTTATATTTCTACATGACCACCAAATATGATAATACGTTGCATCCAAACTACCACATCTCCAACATTTGGGCTGTAAATTGGGATACATGCGAGACATCTTTTGTGGATCAAGGTGCCATCTATAAAGCATTTTATAAAAATTTTCTCGCAAATTTTGAGCTTGGGTAAACTTAACATTCCTCACCCAAATTATCTCCCATGTGTCTAATGGAATCGGCTCTTCAAAGTTTTGAGCCCACTTAACCATACAATCCTTAACTAATTCTGTTTCTGAATCCAATTCCACTAAAACATTATAAACTCTTTTTATGTAGGCTCGATTTTGGTCTTTAATTTGTTTCACCAAATTCACATCTCCCGTAATAAAACCCACTTTTTGATCTATACTCCATCTTTCTAATAACTGCCTATACTGAAACCAAGAATAGATAATATTTTCTTGCGTTAATTCCTCCATCGATTTTAATTGCCACTTATTCCATTCCCACTTAAGTAATTGCTTGTAAGAAATCCTATCCATTTTCACTCCTTTCCTTATCCCTTCTATGGCGTGCCCAGGAATTCCCCACAATGGTATTCCAAAATTTAATCTATAGTATTTCTTCCAGACACGCAATAAAGCAATTCTTAAGACATAGGTTTTAAAAACCCTATCCACCTTTTTATTATAAATTAAATACACATGCCATCCAAATAATAAATCCCAGCCTTTCAAAAAAAGTATATCTGAATTTGTTAAGTTAACCCAATCACTAATCAAAGTTAAAATCACCGCATCATAATACAATTTTAACTTCGGCACCTTGAGTCCACCTCTCTCTCGAACATCTTGAATAATTTTAAGCTTAACTCTTGGTTTTTTCCCAGCCCAAATGAATCTATTAATACCCCTCTGCCAGTCTTCTAAATTTACCTCTTTCTTTAAGATAGGTATCATTTGAAACAAGAAAAGAAATTTTGGCAGAACATTCATTTTAACTGCAGCAATTCTCCCTAACAAAGATAATTGCAATTTTTTCCAGTCATTCAAATCCTTCTGCATTTTAAGCCATAACATTTCATAATTATTTTTATTAAGTTTTGCATTAGAAACAGATATATAAACCCCTAGGTATTTCACCTTTTTTACAATTTCAAAACCTGTCAAATTAACTAGCATCTCCTTATCCAAATTAGACATATTTTTTGTTAAAATTTTAGTCTTATTATTATTAACTTTAAAACCAGAAACTTGTCCATACCGATTTATAATCTGTAACAACTCTACTACTGAACCGGTTGGTTGAGACAAAGTAACAACCAAATCATCTGCAAAAGCTCTCAATTTATAATCTTTCTTATTAATCATTATTCCCTTTATTTTAGATGATTCACGAATTTTAATCAACAAAATCTCTAATGTTAAAACAAACAACAACCGGGACAATGGACATCCCTGTCTTGTACCCTTTTCAATTTGAAAAACCTCAGATAAACCTCCATTAATTATAAGTTGCGCTGATTGTTTTTGATAAATACCTCTAAAAGCTATCCCCAAAATTCATTTCTTCAACCAACCTCAACATAAATTGCCAATTTAACTGATCAAAGGCTTTTTCAGCATCTAAAAAAATCAAACCCGCAGGAATCTGATTATTTTTATCCAAATATTCTATTAAATTAATAATTTGTCTAACATTATTCTTCATATACCTCCCAGTTATAAAGCCACTCTGATCAGTATGTATAATTTGATTCAATACAATCATAAATCTATTCGCTAAAATTTTTATAATCTATATTCAAAAGAGATATAGGTCTATAATTTTTAGGTAAAGTAAGATCTTGATCCTCTTTTGGAATCAAAGATATAAAAGCCCTTCTCCAAGATAAAGGTATCTCTAAACCAGTGATTCTCAACCTTTCTAATGCCGTGACCCCATAATACAGTTCCCCATGTTGTGGTGACCCCCAAGTGGGTGTGGCCACCAATAAGAGGGAGTAGGACAGCTAGGGAAAAGGGAAAAAAATGGTGGACAGCATGGTTTGGTGACCCCCGTGAAATGGTCATTCGACCCCAAATGGGGTCCCGACCCACAGGTTGAGAACCATTGCTCTAAACCCAATAAAATACTATTAAAGAGTTCCTTTAAAGGCTCAATCATCTCATCACTTAAAGTTTTATAATAAATTGATGTCAATCCATCAATACCAGGTGCTTTACCAACTTTTAATTGTTTAATTGCCTTAATAATTTCCTGTGAGGTAATAAACCCATTAATCTCATCTCTTTGATCATTTGTTAATCTAGAAAAATGAGCATCTTGTAGGTATTTATCTATGTCCAAACTCTGAACTTTCTGACCCATATATAATTTTGTGTAAAAATCTAAAAAAGATTTTTTTATCAATTCTCTCTGAAAAACCACCTTGCCATTATAATTTATTTTATCTATAACTCTCGACCTCTGTTTCTTCCTTAATTGATAAGCTAACCACCTGCCCGGTTTATTTGCATTACAAAATGTATTATGTCTCATAAAAC